CCGACGGTGGAGAGCGCGCGGCCGGCGCACAGAGGGCGGACGGACGCGCCGTCCGGGACGGCGAAGCAGGTGAGCGCCGCAGCCAGGGCACGCGAGCCCCCGCGTCAGTTTCCCCGGGCGTTGGGACGAGGAGCACTGGGCGCCGGGACAGTGGGGATGGGGTCAGGGGCGCTGGGAGCGGCGCTGGGAGAGGGTCGTCGGAGCGGAGCGGGCCGGCCGCCTGCGTCCTGCGCCTCGCGCCCCGGGACCGTCGCGATGGCCCGGCCCGGCCGTGGGTCCCGGGCGGCGCTATGTGCTGTGATATTTTTAAGCCCGGTGGATGAGTCACCCGCCCCCATCCTGGCCCCCACCCAGCCCCGGGGCTCACGGGGGACTCCCTGCGCGACGTGGGGACTGTCTGCCCCCCTCCTGCGGGGGGCTGGGGCCTCCTCCAGTGCCTGACCAGGGGTGCGCGCCTCCTGGCCCCTGTAGGTCGGTCAGGAGGCCTTCCCGAACGTCCAGCCCAGAAGGCACTCCTGGGCCAGGAAACACCAGGCCAGGTCAGGCTCTGGGTCAGAGCTGGGGTGTGGAGTTTCAGCGGAGGGGAAGCTGAGGTGCAGCAGGAGTGCTGCTAGGCCTCTGCAGAGAGTGGGCTGGCCAGGGCCTGAGGGTGTGCAACCTGTGGCCATCCAGGTTCCTGGTCCCTGGGCTGGCTGGGGCTGCCCCTTTGCATGTGATGATCCCGGTAGCAAGAAAGGAGGGCCGCTGACCCTAACCCTATCCCCGAACCCTGCGTACAGCCCTCCTCTACCGTGTTGGGAGGCAGGGTCCTGCTGGGGGCCCACTCCTCCCCGCCCCGGCCTTCTGCAATCTCCCTGCAAGCCAGGTTGCGCCTGGACCTGCGAGTTCCAGGTCCTGTTGGCCCAGTGCTCCCACCCAGCCCTATCTTTCTGGTCCTTTCTGCCTGACTCTGCCCCCCCCAGGTGTACCTCCCCACCATAAGCTTCGCAGGTACATCCCTCCCCCCTCCACACCTGTACGGAAGGTGTATGGGGCATTCCCCAGACCATAGTTTCCAGACAAGGTTGCAGCAGGAACTGAGGGACTCCCCCATTCCAGAGCCCCACCCAGCTCCCACGAGGGCAGCCAGGAGCCCCAGTGACTAAGCTGACCCCTCCCCAAGGTCACTCTGTGTATAGCCTGGAATTTGAACTTGGAGGCAGTTCCTCCTCCGTTGCTGCCCTGCTAGAGCCTCCCGCCCCTCTGCTGCCCAACACCTGGGCACCCAGCAGGCAGGGCCCTCTCTTCAGACACTGGACTTTTGGTGCAGTACAACCAAAGTGCAGCCTGGGCCCCAGGACTTTGGGTCCAGGGCTGGGGAGCCCCTCTCCCCCGCATTGGCTCACAAGGCTTCTCCGCTGTGTCCCTGCTAAATCCCTGGGGGACAGCCTTCCCTCCTCTCCCCTTGTCTGGGTGCAAGGTCCCTGCCTAGACTTCCCTTCCGAGGGCTGCGTGTCCTGGCCTGTGCACGCTGTGCCTGGAGGCCTGGGTCTGCCGGAGTTTGTTTTCCCCAGGTGTGTGTACCTGGCTCCACGTGCCAAGCCTTTGGTCTAGCCCGGCAGGAATCCCATTAAGCAAACACTCAGACTCACCCACTGAGCTCACGAGCATTCCGGACATTCTCCATGGATGGGTGGACAGAGGACTCTGGCCAGGCTGCCTCCGGCAAGCCAGGGTGCTTGGAGGCTTGTGGAAGGTGTGCACCCCAGCCAGAGCAGGGCAGTGGCCAAGGCCAGCAGACCCTACATCTCCTTGCAGCACCCCCTAACCTAGCCTGACCAGAAAGTCCTGGGTGCTCCCACCTACCTCTCCATACCAGCACCCTGTACACCCAAACGCTGAGGCAGGGATGGCTTCAATGGTGACAACATGTGTGGACCCTGTGGGGAGCTGTGAAGAGCCCTGGAAGGTCACAGGGCAAGGACACAGGCCAGCCCAGTCCTGGAAGCCCCCAGAGGGCATAGATCCACATGGCATCAGGCTGACCTAGGCCACCAGCTCTGCTCACCTGCCAGGGAAGTCCCTAGGGTCCAGCCCAGCTCAGAAACCTGCTGGTTTCAGCAGCGAGGCCTCAGTTTCCCCAAAATGCAGCTGGCAAGAGGTCAGGGCTGGAGATTTGGCCCAGGAGAGTGGCCATCCTGGGTCTACCCTGGGGAGGCTGGGGCACCAACCACCCCTGAAAATCTCAACGCCATACCTTCTTGTCTGTCCTTGAAGTTCCCAACATTCCCTCCCCTGCACACCCTAGACCAGCTTCTGAGTATCAGGACCCCAGGATGCCCTGCCCCATGGTCCAGAGGGAGCCAGGGCCAGCCTTGTGGCCAGGGTGGCAGGTCCACAGGAGCGTGCAGGGGTCCTAGTAGAGACCTGAGTGTGGGAGTGGCAGCTGGGGCCCCTTCTGCACTTTGCACACTCCCCTGCAGCCTCATCTTCTCCTGCCCCCCTCCCCTGCTGGTTCCCACCCACCGCAGGGCTCCCCAGACCCCTCCCCAGAGCCTCCCAGGGAGCCTCTGCAGGCATCCATGTGGAAGGTGAAGGTCCAGAGCAAGGTGGGGCTGTGGTCCCTGAGGACCACCAGGAATCTGGTGAGGCTACTGAGCCCTAGTGCCTGCACCTGAGGGGAGAAAGCCAGGCCACCCAGACCAGGAGGAGGTACCAGCTCCACTGCCTCTGTCTTCTCAGGTGTAGGCTGGACCCTGGGCCCAACTCAGGCCACGCTGAGTTTTGCCTTCTTGGCTCTGGCCAGCACCAAGGACACCATGAGCCAGTCCGGACCCATGAGCTGCTGCCCAGGTTCTACCAAGTAAGCCCCCATGCCCCCAGGCCCAGGGAGGGGCATGCTGGCACTGCCCTCACCTGCCACTTCCCACAGCGGCAGCCTGGGCCGGTCTGACGGTGTGGCCAGGATGAGCGCCAAGGACCTGTTTGGTGAGTGAGGTTTACGGGTGGCCTGGACATGGGGGGTCGGGGGCTGTGCCCAGCCCCTGACCCAGGGGAGGTCTGGCCGGGTCAGCCTGCGGGACACTGAGAAGACCTTTGGACCTTAGCCATGGTGGCTTCTGAGGTGCGACCCCAAAGCTCCCACACTGAGCAGCCCTCCCCCGATGTAAGGGGAGAGGCCTTTACGAATAATTCAGGGAGCACCAGTATTGATTCCGCTGCCACGCTCCTCTGCAACACGATCGAGGGGTTCAGGCAGGACCCAGTTGCCAGGTGTCCACTCCAGGAGGAGGCTGGCCGCCCAGCCAAGCTCCTCCCAGCCCTGCCCCTCTTAGCTGGGCCCCTGCTGGGCCCTAGGACCTCCCCTGGCCCAACCATGCTGCTCCTAGGCTGTGCCTTTAGCTCTACACCCACCCCTGCTTGTGCCCTTCAGTAGAGGCTGAGTTCGGCTTTCCGTGGGGAAGTCCTGGCTGGACGGCCCCCAAGGAAGGTGGCGTGGGGGGCATCCTCTGTGGGGTGGGGCTGAGCCTGCTGTTTCCCCAGCACACATTCTGGTCACAGGCTGTCCATCACCACTCTGAGTGGCCCAGGCTTCCCACCACCCTGTCCCAGGAGCCCCTCTCTGGTATCTCACACCCCGCGTTCCTTCTTCCTGCTGGCTGGGGGGCCCTCACCCCACCCCACCCTCCATGTGGCCCCTGCACCAGGGGCTTCGGGGTCCCGCTGTGGGGTGAGAGACTGCCCTCTCCCGTCTAGAGCAGAGGAAGAAGTATTCCAACTCCAACGTCATCATGCACGAGACCTCCCAGTACCACGTCCAGGTGAGACCTCAGCCCAGGGAACAGGGTCACTGCCGGGGGACGTCCTCACAGTCCTGGGCTCGGGCGCAGTGGGGAGACAGCCCCTCCAGTCAGGGTTCATGGTGGGGCCACGGGGAGCCCACCCTGGGAAGCTGGTGTCCGACACTGCCCGGTGTGTGCTGGGGAGACACCCTAGAGACTGGACCGCCTGGCCAGGAAAAGTGGGTGGGAAGGAAGTTGTCATTCTGGCCTTTAAACAGGGGACTGGATTAGGAAGAGACTCTGGAACAAAGGAGCCCTTTATTGAGAGCTCCCTGGCTGAGTCCAGGCCGGTAACCCGCAGCCGTAGACCAACTGCCAGCTCAGGAGGCCTCTGGCTGGTCCCTTGAAACTCACACTTGGAGCTCAAAAAGTGTGCTCCTCCGTGGCTTTCCTGCTCCTGGGAGTGGCAGGGTTGCTGGTTGTGGCCATGCCTGTGGGACAGCAGGGTAAGGAATGACAGGGAGGTCGAGGACGAGAGGTAAAGGGCACCGCTGCTCTGCCAGCTCTAACTGCAGGTCCCCCGCACCTGGCTGGGCTGTACACCCCAAGGTGCTCTCTGAGCCTCAGCCCCGTATGTGGATTGAGGGTCCACAGAGCCCTCAGGAGTCCCAAAGGATCTCTCGAGCTGGGTGTGGTGGCGCATGCCTGTAACCCCAGCACTCGGGTGGCTGAGGCAGGAGGATTGTTGCCGACACCTTGTCTCAGAAAACAAACAAACAAACAAACAAACAAAGGATCTCTCAAGGCCAGGATGTTGGGGTGACCACGGCATCCCTACTACCAGCACAGTGCCCTGGGCAGGACAGAGGTGTGGACAGGGAAGCTTTGGCTCTTCCTTCCTAGCAGCTCTGCCCCTTTCTCAGGAGTAGGACTTTGCCCCCTTGTTGAGCAGCTACGGGGCCTCCCTGCCTGGATCCTGGACTTTGTTCCAAGCTGGCCCAGCTTGGCTCAGCTGTTCTAGGGGCCTTTCGTGCTCACCCAGGGGCCAGCAAGGGTGGAGGAATAGGTGGGGTTTACCTGAGGGTGCAGAACACGTCCAGACAATAGGGAGTGGGTGCAAGGAAGCAAGCCCATGTTTATTTCTCTTTTCTTTTTTCTTTTTCTTTTTTTTTGGTTTTTTCTCCGGTACCGGGAACCGAATTCACAACCTTGCGCTTGCCAGGCAGGCGCTTTGCCGCTGAGCTAAATCCCCAGCCCCTCTTTTCTTTTTTCTAACTTTTCATACAAGCTGGGCATGGTGTCAAACACCTGTAATCCCATCACTCAGGAGGCTGAGGCAAGAGGACTGCTGTGAGTTCAAGCCCAGCCTGAAGTTACAGAGTGAGACCCTGTCTCAAAACAAAACCAAACCAAACTGGGGCTGAGGATATAGCTCAGTGGCATAAGTGCCTGCCTGGCAAGCATGAGGTCGTGAGTTCGATCCCTGGTAACGTAAAAAAAAAAAAAAAAAAATCAAACAAAACAGTGGCCAGGGGTATAGCTCAGTGATGGAGTGCCTGCCTGGCAAGCGTGAGGTCCTGATTTCAATTCCCAGTACTCAAAAAGCAAAACTAAACAACTTTCCATACAGCAAACTGATGAGGGGGTGTGGCTCTGTTACTCCGGTGACAAGGACTCAGAGCAGTTCCACCACCCCAGTCTCCTTCGAAACCCTTTTGTGGTCACAGCCACCCTGACCCCAGTCCAGGGCAACTGCTCCATCTCCCATTCTGTAGTTTTGTCTATGAATGAGACCCTGCAGATCACAGCCAGCCCTGCTGCCCTGCTTCATGAGTTGTTTTTTTTAAAAACCGCAAAGGACAAGTCTTCAGCAGCACTGTGTTCTGTGGGGTGGGCTCTGCCGTAGCATGTGGAGTTGCTCCTGAGTCCTGGGGTATCTCCACCTTCATAGTCAGGGCAGAGACTGGAAACATCTCCTTCCAGCCCGAGGCTTGTCACCTGGTGTGGCTGAGTCTTTAATGAACAGAAGTGTTTAACTCTGATGGGGTCTGTCCATGTTTGCCTTTTCTCTTTTCGGGTTTGTTTTGTCGGTTGGTTGGTTGGTTTCTGTCTCCTAAAGAGTTGGTGCCTGGCCAAGACTCCGAAGCCTCCTCTCCATGTCTTCTGTTGGGTGCTTTGCTCCGTAGTGGATGCTGCATCCGTCACTGCTGCACTTCAAATTCTTCTGTGCATGGTGTGGGGCGGGGAGCAAGGGCCCTTTTTCCTACCTGAATGTCGGCTGCGTTAACAGATTTTCCTTCTTTTGTGAGTGGTTGTGATACCTGTGGCAACAAAACATGAATTGGATATGTCTCCAGTGTTTGTTGTTGTTGTTGTTGTTGTTTTCTTTTGCTACTGGAAATCAAATACAGGACCTTGCGCTTGCCAGGCAGGCAGACACTGTGCCACTGAGCTATATCCCCAGCCCAATTAATTGGATATGGACGGGTCTGTTTCTAAATCCTTCATTTCACTGACCTGTTATTCTGTGTACATGATTTTTGTTTTTGTTTTTGTTTTTGTTTTTGTCTTTTTGAGACGGGGTCTCCCTATGGAGTTCAGGCTGGCTTTGAGCTCACTTTGTAGCCCAGGCTGGTCTTGAACTCACAACGATCCTCCTGCCTCAGCCTCCTGAGTGCTGGGATTACAGACGTGCGCCACCACACCTGGCTGTGTACATGGTTTGACTCACTGTAGCTTTAACCTTAGCTTCAAATCAGGTCTGGTGAGTCTTCCAACCTTGTTCTTCCTCTTCAGGTTTTTCTCTCCTGGAGCGCAGGCGAGGCTCGGCTGTAGAGTGCTTGCCCTGCATACAGAAGGCCCTGAGTTTGAGCCCCACTGCCAAAACAATTTTTTTTTTTCTTAGACATAGTTTTGCTCTGTTGCCCAGACTGGGTTCAAGCAGTCCTGCCTCAGCCTCCAATGTGGCGGGAGTACAGGCATGCACCACCAATGCCTGCTAAGATTTTTCTTGAGTAAGTTTTTTGGATTTACGTATAAATTTTAGGATCAATTTGTCCTTTTCTGCTCCTTTAAAAAGCTGCTAGAGTTTTGATTGGCATCGAGTCAAATCTATGAATCAGTTTAAGAAGAATTGACATCTTAGCAATATTGTGTCTTTCCATCCACGAACATGGGATGTCTTTCCATTTATTAGTTTTTTGGGGTTTTGTTTGTTTGTTTGTTTTGGTTTTTTTGAGACAGGGTCTTGCTGTGTAGTTTAGACTGGCCTTGAACTCACTACGTAGCCAGGCTGGCCTCAGACTCATGGTGATCCTACTGCCTTAGCCTTCTGAGTACTGGGATTACAAGTGTGCACCATCACTCCCAGCTACTTAGGTCTTCTTTAACTTCTCAATAATGTGATTTTCACTGTAGAGGTCTTGCATATCTTTTGTTAAATTATCTCCTAGGTGTTTTATTTTTATGTGCTGTTACAAATGCTTTGTTGTTGTTGTTGTTTGTTTGTTTTTCTTCCGGTACCAGGAATCAAACTCACAACCTTGCGTTTTTGCCTCTGAGCTAAATCCTCAGCCCCAGTATTTTTTTTTTTAAATTTCACCTTCAATTGTCTGCTGCTGGTATATAGAAAAAAATTAAATTTTTTAAATTTTTGGTACTAAGAGTCAAACTCAGGGCCTCACACTTTTCAGGCTGGCACTGCACTACTGAGTTACATCCTGGCCTCCAAAACTGAATTTTTTTATGGATCTTTTATGATCCAGTGTCCTGAGGCCTGGGCAAATTTAGTTATTTGTTCTAGTGACTTGCTTGTACACTGACTGGATTTTCCTCTTTTCTTTTTCCTTTTCGAGGATCTTGCTCTATAATTCAGGCAGGCCTTGAATTCATTATGCAGCCCAGGCTAGCCTCAGATTCAGGGCCATCCTCCTGCCTCAGCCTCCCACGCACTGAGATTAAAGGCATGTGCCACCACGCCTGGCTGGATTTTCTTCCTGCACAATCACACTGTCAAAAATGGCTGGGGATGTAGCTCAGCAGCACAGAGCCTGCCTGGCAAGCTCAAGGTCCTGAGTTCGATTCCTGGTAACAGAAAAACAAAAACAAAAAAACTCCACATTGTTAAAAATAACCATTCTTTGTTTCTTTTATACCATTTATTTGTTTTCTTGCCTCATTTTCCTGGTTAGAATGACTAGTACAGTGCTAACTAAAAGTGACAGAGTGATGTCCCTGCCTTCTGTCCAATCTTAGGAGAAGGCAGTATTTTGTCTGCTGTGTGTATATGTAGGTAATTTTTATTAGAATGAGGAAGTTCCTTACTATTCTCTGTTTGCTGAAAGTTTTTACCATGAAGGGTGTTGAATTTTGCCATGCACATTTTCTCACTCTATTGAGATTTATTCTACTGTGGATATATTGAGTCATACTAATTTTTTAAATGTTGAACTGATCCTGCATTTCTGCAATGCACTTCATTTATTCAAGGTGCATCACCATTTTTCTGTGTTAAGAACTAGTCCAGCATTTTACTAAAGACTTTTTCCATCAATGCCCACTGAGATACTCACCTGTGTTTTTCTTTCGCAATGCCTTTTTTGTTTGTTTGTTTGTTTTGTTTTTGTTTTTTGTCTTTTTGAGACAGGGTCTCCCTGTGCAGTTCAGGCTGGCCTTGAGCTCACTTTGTAGCTCAGGCTGGCCTCGAACTCGCAACGATCCTCCGGCCTCAGCCTCCTGAGTGCTGGGATTACAGGCGTGTGCCACCACACCCGGTTCGAAATGCCTTTGGCAGGTGGGGGGGTCACAGTTGTGTTAATCTTATACAACCGAAGGGAAGGCTTCCTTCCTCCTCTGCTCCCAGAAAGTTTTTGGTTTGTTTGTTTTGCTGTTTTTTTCTTTTTTTCTTGGTACATTTTAGACGTACATAATGATCACATTCATCATAGGGAAATTGTACCTGTACGTGATATGTCTTACTTCTTTTTTTCCCCATCCCCTTCCCTTCCCTTCAGTCCTCTTCCCCTCCTTATTTACAAAAGCTTTGTTTCCATTTTTCTTTCTATTCTCTTTTTTTCTTGACCCTTCTTTCCTTCCCCCACACCTGTTCCTTGTTCCCCTTCTCATTTGAACATTTTCTTCCCATTTCCCAATATCTAGTGTACATTTTGCTCCTTATTTACACTTTTGGTTTCTCACACTAGAGAAACAATGTGATATTTACACGTGTCTGTCCAATTTATTTCACTTAACAATATGGTCTCAAGTTGCATCCATTTAACTAGAAATCTCTCAAGTCCATCCTTCTTTATGGCTAAGTAGTACTCCACTGTATAAAAAAGCAACATTTTCTTTATCCATTCCTTGGTTGATGGGCATTTGGGATGTTTCCAAGACTTGGCTATTACAAACTGAGCTGCTATAAACATGGGAGTTTATGTATTGCTGTGATGTGATGCTTTTAATTCTTTTAGGAAGATACCAAGAAGGGGAATAGCTGGGTCAAATGGGACCTCTAGTTCTAGTTTTGTGAGGAATCTCCACACTAATTTCCAGAGGTTGCACCAGTCTACACTCGCATCAGCAGTGGAGAAGGGCTTCTCTTCCCCCGCAGCCCTTCCAGCATTTGTTATTGGTTGATCCCACAGTTTTTGAAGTGTGTTCCTTTTTTGCTTAAATATTTGCTAGTATCCATCAGTGCAGCCCTCTGAGTACTGAGGTTCTCATGTGGGAGGGTTTTGTTCAGTAATTCACTTGTGCACCTATACGATCAACCTCTAGGGTTGCTCTGTCTTTCCTTTCGGTTTTCTTTTTTTTGTTGTTTTTTTTCCGGTACCAGGAATCGAACTCACGACCTCATGCTTGTCAGGCAGGTGCTGTGCCGCTGAGCTAAATCCCCAGCCCCTCCTTTTGGTTTTCAAGAATTAGTGTTTTCTCTAGTATTTTTCTTAGTATTCTTTCTAGAGGTTTATAAATTTTATTAATTTATCAGAACGAATTTTGGACTTTGGGTTTTCTGTATTGATTTTCTTTTTTTGTTTGTTTTGTTTTGTTTTGTTTTTTTGAGACAGTGTCTCACTATGCAGTTCAGGCTGACCTTGAGCTCACTTTGTAGCCCTGGCTGGTCTCGAACTCACAATGATCCTCCTGCCTCAGCCTCCCGAGTGCTGAGTGCTGGGATTATAGGCCTGCACCACCACACCCAGCCTTTCTGTATTGATTTTCTGTTTACTAGTTTGTAGACTTTTTAGGCTTTTAATTCCTTCCTTCCACTTATTTTAGGCTTTACTTAATTGTGTTTTTCTAGTTTTTTTCTCCCTCCAGTGCTGGGCATCAAAGCCAGGGCCTCTTGCATTAGGCAAGTGCTCTACCACTGAGCTACATCCACAGCTCTTTTTCTTTGGAGACAGGGTCTAGCTAAGTTGGCCTCAAACTTTCAATCCTCCTGCCTCAGCCTTCCAAGTATCAGTGATTGTATTTGCATACCATTGTGCCTGGCTTGCCATCCTTAACTATTATCTTCAACAATAGATAACTCTTAGCCAGGTATAGTGGCACATGCCTGTAGTCCAGAACTCAGGAGGCTGAGACAGGAGGATTGCCATGAGTTTGAGGCCAGCCTGGGCTA